CCTGATTGTAAAGGGGGAGCACAAAGGCATGAAAACAGGAATGGGCAAAACACATTATTGCATGGTTCAGTCACATTAGAGTCATTTGCTTTTCCTGAAACCTAGCGGTGCTACTCAAGCTATTTCATGTCAATGCTATCTCATTCAGGGGAATATGCTGGGTAATTGGCCTTAGGCAGAACCTTCATCTTTGTTATGACCCTAAAGGGCATCCCCTTACTAATAAGCCAACAGAAAGAAGTGGGCTTGCCTGTGTCAAGTACTTTTCTCTCTCCTCATAATATCAACCTTGGTCTTGGTTTTTTAGATCAGCAAAGCCTCCTTGCTGTTTCTCACACAAGAAATTCCATCTCTCAGCTTTGAGCAATTCCATTGACTATCTCCTATGTCTCTTCTCTTCTCTGCTTTCTTGCTTCCCTGGCTTCCTTCAGGTTTTAGCTAAACTCCAACCTTTTGCAAGAAGTCTTTCCTGATTCCCCTTAATGTTAGTGTCTTTTTCCTGACATTATCCCTATTTTTGTATTTATTTTGTTTGTACATAGCTATTTGCATGTTTTCTCTTCAGTTAGACTTAACTTTTTGCAAGCAGGGACTATGTCTTTTGCCTTTCTTTGTATCTTCAGTGCTTAGCACAGTGCCTGGCACATAGTGGATGATCAATAAGTGCTTGTTGACTTGACTTGGACAAAGACGGTATTGCAGGGAATGTAGCATAGAAGAAAACAAATTCTGAACTGAGAATCAGGAAATCAGAAATCTAATTCTTTGGGCCTCAGTTTCTTTAAGTGAAAAATCTGTGCTATTACTTCATTATGATCTTGGGCAATTTGTGTTCCCTCATTTTTCTCCTCTGTAAAATGGGTTGGTGAGAGAATATAGAGTATATACAGTAAAAAGGGTACAGGATTTGCAGTCAGAAGACCTTGGTTTGGATCCCAGCTTGGTCATGTACCAGCTGTGTGACCTTGGGTAAGTCATTTCTCTTCTCTGATGCTCAGTTTCCTCATCTATAAAAGGAGGGGATTGGGACAGATGATTTTTTATCTCTGACATTTTATGATTGTATGATCCTCTCCATATTGTTGGGGCAGACTGAGTAACTGCTTTTGGCTGGGGGTACTGGATACTTTTCCTGTCTGTTGCAACCTTAGTCCTGCAGTGAATGAGCATGTTGATTAGCTCACACTAAACTGTTGGTTAGGATCAAGTGTTGAAAGGATGGGTCTGTTGCTCACACATGTACTTTCCTACCAGGAAGTATAATGTATATCCTGGGCATCAAGCCATCAACACTGATGTTGTTATCATGCCATTGGCATCTGTTTGGCAAAATTTCTTTATAGCCTAGAACACTTCATTTGGAGATCATTTAGACTAAGAGTTGGAGATTGATGAGAGGCTGTGGGTTGTCATAGAAATAGCATGGTAGTCGGAAGACTTCAGTTTGAGTCCTATCATTTACTAGCAATGTGACTTTAGGCAAATCACTTTCACCTCTCTCTGCCTCAGTTTCTGCATTGTCAGATGGGGATAATGATATTTACATTACTTATTTCAGAATTGTAGTGAGGAAAATTTATAAACTGTAAGATACTATAAGTGTGTTTCTGTATTCCATTCTTGCACTGAGCCTCCCAGGAACATGTTCAAGGTAACCATTTCCCTCTCTGTTCTTCCTCATCAACCAGCAGTGACTCACTTGAGCCTGGGACACTACATGAGATTTTAAAAGTTTGTGTGTGTGTTTCTAAAAGAATATTATAACATCCCTTATGTGGAATATATAAGGCAAAAGACATATGAGTAATAAGATTGGATTATTATACTCCATAGGTGGAATGCGTAGAAGTCTGGTTTTAAACTATTTGGAAAGAAAGCAGCCTTTTCTCCTTTTAGGTAGACTTTGAATAACTATACTCTTAATTGTTTGAAAAAGTCTTCAAAAATTATTATCTGACATAGCCTATTAGAATAGTAACAGGCTACGGATAGGAGACATTCAATAGATATTTTGTTCAATTGTGATTTTTCTTTTGTGAGTAAAGTGCTGTTCTGGTGTCATTTAGGAGCACAGTAGTTTGGTGACCCACTGAGCTTACTAAGAAAGTGAAAGATATCTGACCACTAACATTATAAAACTTATTTAGGATTGGAGAATCATCCTGTGTAGATGCTTCTGACATCCTCACCAGGAATAGAGATTCTTCAGGGACAATTCATCCAGTAATTTGGTCCACGGAACACGGTCCAGCTCATTCTCAAGTGCTGTCAGTGCTGGCAAAAGTAAAAGCTGTGAATATGTCAGCAAGCAGGTAGGCCTCAAAGACACACTGATAAACATCAGTGATGCACATATACTTCCATAGATCCATGATCTCATCTACGTGGGCAGGCCCTCCTCCCCCTTCTCCCTCCACATTCTGGGTGATTCTGTCAGTGTCCTTTAAGAAATCCTCCAGACTTGATCTCCAAAGTGTTAGATGTCTCTCACTGGTTCTTTTCATATTTTGTGGATAGGAGTGCAGGATGCAGGCTGTCCTCCATCTTTCTAAGTACTGTAATCTATGAAACAAACACATCAATGGCTAGGATTATTATCATAAAAAGGAAAGATCTTTTGGATTTACCCAGAGTTTCTTTCTGTGAGGGCTGGAATTCAGCCTCAAACAGAGGATATAACAATATGCTCTGACATCCTTGTTGTTGAGTATGAATTTTTTTTATGTGGTCAGGGCTATAATACTACCTTTAAAATCTTATTTAGTTATATTTTACATGTAATCAGCTGATTAAAAGACTTTACAAGATCTTTTCACATTGTATCTTCTTTTATAGGGTGGCTCATTTACAACAGGCCTCACAAAATTAACTACGGATCAAGTACATGGGGTTAGTATGAAATGGTGCCTCCTTGACAATACCTTTTAAATCAGACACTACTCTCTTCTTTTCCCTTAAATTCCTGGCTCATGGAGCACAGAGGCAGGGGCATACATTTCATCCTTCCCCATTAAAAACCTTGCTGCTTGGTTCGGCTTGTTGCAAGCTAAGTACTTTGCTTCGTGAAGACAACTTATTTTTGATCCTTATTATTTTAGTGTGGGTGATGCAAGCCCAGCATAGCAGGGCACTTAGTCAGCTAGTGCCTTTTGAGTCTGAGGACGCTTCATTCATGCCAGTGAAGGAAAGAGCATTGCGCAGCCGTGCCTGGGAGTGCTCCAGCAGTTGTGTTCCCTAGAGGGAAGGCTGGCTGGGTTCTGGGTTCAGTGCGTTCAGTCCAAGGCGTGGACTCTAGCATGGTAGTCATCTCCCAAAGCAAAATGCGGTTTTTCTTCACCTGCTCCATCCACCATCGCAGCAGTCCGGTCGACATCCTACCTTATGGCTCCCACTCCTTCCTTAAATTTTGCAGCTGGTTATAACAGTTAGGAGTTGCAAAAGCTGTCTAGGCTTGAGGCTGAGAACTCCCAGACTAGACTGGAAGAGAAATAAAGAAAAAAAAAAGAAGTAAAATAAAAATAAGAGGGATTCCTGGGCGCAGTTGGGTAATGGAGTTAGGAGGGGAGGGGGACGGATTGACGGTTACTCCCATCCCTTCCTTGGTAGGCATCTCATTCCCTTCCCACTCCTCCCCAAAGCTCTGCAGGTAAAACTAGGAGGTGACTGGGAAGCCAGGTACTTGGTCTTTTAGCGCTGGGGTTTGCAAAAGGAGAAAAAAGAAGAGGAGGAAAGATAAGAGTAGAACGAATAGCAAAAGTAGAGAGGGAGAAGCGAAGGGGGGATAAAGTAGAACGAAAAAGGAGTAGAGCAGGGAGAGGGGAGACAGCAAAAAAGAAAAATGGAGAAGAGAGAAGGAAGGGAGAGAGGGAAGACCAAAGAGGAGAAAAAGAGAAAGAAAGAGGGAGAGAGGGAGAAATAAAAAGGAGAAAAGAAAGAAGGGATAGAGGAAAAAGTAAAAAAGAGGGAAAAGGAAAAAAGAGGGAAAGAGGAAAGCGCAGAAAAGGAGGGAGAGAGAGAGAGGAAAGGAGAAAGATAGGAAGGAGAGAGATTAGCAAAAAAGGAGAAAGCAGGGAGAGAAGGAAGAGTAAAAAAAGAGAGGAGGGGAAAAGGGAGGGAGCAGCAAAAAAGAAAAAGGGAGGGAGGGAGGGAAGAGCAAAAGGAGACACACAGAAGGGAGAGAGAATATGAGAAAAGGAGAAAGGGAGAGAAGGGAGAATAAAAAGAAGAGAGGACAGGAAAAGGGAGGGAAGAGCAAAAAAGGAGAAAGGAAAGAGGGAAGAGCAAAAAAGAAAAGAGGGAGAGAGGGAAGAGCAAAAAGGAGAGAAAAAAGGAGGGAGAGGAAGCACAACGAGGAGTGGACGAGAAAGGGAAGGGAAGGAGAGAAAACAGGAGAGTGAGGAGGAAAAGCAATGAGGAGGACCTAGAAGAGGAAGAAAAGGGAAAGGAGGCGAGACCAGGAGAAAGGAGGAGTGGAGGCGGGGAGGAGTGGGAGGTGGGAGGTGGGAGCCCAGCCCGGGAGGGAGGGAGCGGGCGGGGCGGGAGGCTCGGCAGAGGGGGCTTGTGGGTAACGGGGTGGGAGCCCGGTGGGAGCCCAGCCCGGGGGGGAGGGCGAGTGTGAAGAGGAGCCCGAGGAGGTGTGGGGCGCTGAGCGGCGGCAGGGCCACTATGGGGCCGGCGCGGTGGCGGCGGCAGCGGCAGCGGCAGCAGCAGCGGCAGCAGCGGCAGCGGCGGCTGTAGCTGCCCCGACCGCGGTGCGAGCGGCGCTCCGAGCGGCGGCGGCAGAGGCGGCCTCCCGGCCAGCCCCGTCCCGTTCCGCCCGGGGAGGACCGGGACGGCAGCGGCAGCGCCGGCAGCTCCACTTCCCTCCGCCCCCCGGGAGCGGCGCCCCGGGCCGGACGAGCCTGGGTCTTGTCCCGTGGATGTTGGCGCGGCCGGGCGGGAGTCCAGCAGACGGCCCGTGAGGCAGGGAGCGGCCCCGAGCGCGAGCCCGGCCGGCCCAGGCCGAGCCCGTCGCTTGCAGCGTCTGGGAGGCGCTAGGCCCCGGCGAGGGGGGGCGGCCGCGAGCCCCGAGCCCTGGAGGCGGGAGCAGGATGAGCCAGCCGCCGGCCGAGAAAATGTCTGGCAGCGCGGAGGTAGTGCCCTGGGACTGGGCCTTCGCGAACCGCCAGCGGCTGCTGGAGGCCCTGCTCTGGGACCCCCGCTCCCCCATCTACGTGGAGAGCCTCCTGGTGAGCGGGCAGCGGTTGGGGAGGGGGCTGCGGCAGCTTTGTCTCGGCCCGGCCGCGGGCCTGGCATCTTCCCGGGCTGTCTGTGCCTGTCCCCAGACGGACGAGCTCCCCCGCCACCCCGACCCTTCCTGTGCCCTTCGGTGTCAGTCTCCTCGCCCCACCCTATCTGCTGCCATTCCTCCCCCTCCCCGCCGCGTAGGACCCGTCTCTTCCCTGCCCCCTTCCTCGTGTGAAAATGGGACCCTCATTTTAGCTCCCCGCTTCCTCCACCTTCTGCTGCCTGGAATCAGATTAGGGACCTTAGTTTTACTCCACCTTTATCCCTTGCCCCCACTCCAAGCTGAAAATTGGAACCCTCATTTGGAATCCCCACCCCCCCCACTCCGTATTCCATCACCTCCTTCCCTATCTGAAAATGGGGACCTGTTTAGGCACTCTTCTTGCTCTGTCTCCCTCCTACCCGTCACCTCCATGCCATTTGTTCTCAGGGTTAGGCTGGGGGGGGGGGACCCTCATTTTAGCCGCATCTCTTTGGGAATGAGGATGTGCCTGGAAATATCAGGGGACCCTTCCTCCCCGTCAAAGGCCAGAGCCTCACACCAGCTGAGGAATAGGGGACACACGGAACTGTTTACAGGTAGGGGCTGGCGTGGGGGACTCGCGTCTCCAGGTTAAGAAGACGACTCCTAAAGCCCTTCCCTAGTTCCAACTGGGAATGTATAGGTTACTTGACTGAGAACGGCTCTCTCCCCCGGTCCCGCCCCCCCCTTCCTTTAGTTCTGTTTACTTCCCCTTTCCCCCAACCAACTTTATGTGGGATCACAGGAAGGTAAAAGTCTTGAATGGTTTTATGCATCTCTGAACATCCTATGTAATCTTATCATAACTTGTTCTCAATTTTCCCAACTTCAAAATACCCTCAGTATTGTTGCACCAGACATTGTGAATCAATTTAAACTGTAGAATGAACGTAATCTTCCTGCCTTCCCCCATCACTTTCCAAATACGCCAGACCCAATTCCATATTAATAATCAAGTAAAGGCTAATGTTTGGCTCTTGAATCATCCAGTAAAGAGGGAGCTTGCTTTTGGAATGAGTAATATAGAATTGATTGCATATTTCTTTCTTATTTTTGTTAAGGTTAAAGATTGTGACAATTTGTTATGGGTTTGAGGTGCTTATGTGAGTGTGGACTCTATACCCTGGAGAGGAAAAGAATGAGAAAAAATCCTTTTGGATATAAGATTTTATCTCTCTTGACTAGAATTAGAGAGCATGATTTTTGCCTTTTTTTTCCCCACCAAGGTCTCTGAAAGTATTGGAGATACTAATCTCAATTCAGAAGCCTGGTGACTACATCCTGAGGAAAATTGTTTCTCTTCCTCTTTCCTTTGATTGACTTCTTATTACAGGCAGTTATTCTTTGAGGCTGCTGGAGTCATTTGCAGAATGATTCAGTCCTATTTCTCCAAAGAGCTTGGATTGACTGAGCAGCTTGTGTCTTTCTATGCAGTGTGTTGGGTGTAGCGATCTGCTGCATTGTATCAGTAGTGTTTGAAGTTTTCTTTTCATGTTTTCAAATTTTTGCTTGGGCTGCTAGACCACGTGATCTGGACGGGCCGGAGGAAGTGCTGGCTTGGAATAGGATAGATTACATAGAGGGCATGAGTTTTCCTAGGCTAGAGGAGAAAGAATTGTCTCTGGGCTGTACTCCCAGCATTTTCACTTTGGTATTTTGCTGGGAAAACTTTGACCTAAGGCCAGAAAGATCAGTTAAAAATAGTACAGCAAATCTGAAACTTTAATCAGGTTAATACTTAACCCCTGGCCAAAATCTTTTCACACTTTGCTTCATTTCTTGTGTCTTTAGAGATGATGATCATTATTATTGGGCTATTTTAAGGTTGGACTTAGGCGAATTTACACTAACAAGATAATGCTGTGCTAAAAAATTTAAATCACTTAAAAATTCGTATTTTTTGTGAACACAGGGCCTGCTGGTATCATCAGCTCTGGAGACAGAGAACGTGTGTTCAGATTTCTTCTCTAACTCCTGCTTACGTGTATTTCCTTGGGGAAATGTTAGGTTTCAGTGTCTCATCTGTAAAATAAAGGAATTGGACTAGGTGACCTTTGCAGTACCTTCTGTTTCTAGATATATATCATTTATGAAACATCGTGGGTACTTACAGTACTCCTATTTCAATTGTTAATTTATTCAAGTAATATTTGAGTTTACTATAGTAATAATCATTGATATGTGTATATAGTGCTTTAAAGTTTACAAAGTACTTTACAGAATACATTCTCCTTTGATCCTGACAACAATCCTGTAGGCTAGGGAGAATATTACCCCCATTTTACAGAGAGATAAAGTACTTTGTCCAAGGTCATATAGCTAATAAATGGGGGACTGAGGGATTCAATTTCCAGGTCTAATGACTCCCAAGTCCATTGTCTTTTGCACTGCAACATGATGTTTACATATTAGATGTTGTTACTATTTATTAATTTGACATTCAGTGTTTGTATCAATGATGAAAAACTGCAATGGATGTTATTTCATGCTTTGATGATTTTAGTTGAATAAAATTAAATCTGTATAATCCTGTCCAAGGCTATCAAAGTTCTCCAGGAGAGCTTTTTCTCCTTAGAACTAGAATTCGAGTCCTTATTTTAAAATTTTAAGCCACCTTTAGCAATATAGAATACTTGGTTTTAGTTCAATGACCTGTATCAAATACAGAAAATTAAATGATGAAAAGGAATACTTGTTATAAGTCTATATTTGAGGCATATTTTCCTAGATACTGGTAGCTATTTAAAGATTTGAAATGTTCAGATATGAAATAGTCCAGATAACATTTGCACATGTAAAATCAGCTTTCTTTTTATGTTTTTTCTTTAAGTTTGTCACAAAAAGATGATGAATGTTTAGTTTTTAGCATAGAAAAAACTAGAAGTAGTTTTCTAGTGAATATAATATAAAATATGAAAGTAATAAATTCTACAGAGGAAATTTGAGAGAACCCAATAACCCTGCTGATATTTTCCGTCCAAAATAGTTAACATGAAATTGTCTATGTGTAAAAAATACTTGTGGCGTTTTGGGAGGTTCGGCATGAAAATCGGCTTAATTTCCTATTTTGCTTCAAAATTTCCATTTCCTCCCTTCCATGCTACTCCCTACTTCCCACTATCTCTGCAGTGTTTATAGATTCTTTTAATATATTTCAAACCCCAAAGGGTTCCACAGCCAAGTTAGTTTGGAAAACTCTTTACAACATAAGACTGTAAAAATAAGGATTAATTGCAAGTACAGAACAGATCCACAGTGTTTTTTTCCTGCTAAGTATATTTTCATGTATAGACTTCTAGTAGCCTGGCCACTAGCTTGGCTTTAAAAAAATCAAGGAAAATTTTTTCCTTTCTCCTAAGAAGAATATAGTTTTATCAGGAATTCTTTTTGTTAAATAATTTTGAATAAGTAATATTAATCTTATCAGAATTTATATCAAGACAGCTAAAAATCACCTAATAGTAGACTGTAATCTGAAGAACAATACAAACCATTGTAGAGACCAAATTATTTTGTTATTTTTTTCCCTTGGAGAGATTGGTTGCTTTATGCCAGACCTTAGATTCTGAAACATGTTATTTGAATTTGAATCCTGCCTTAGACTCTTCCTAGCCATGTGACCCTGGGCAAGTCACTTAATTATTGAACCTCAGTTTCCTAATCTGTAAAATGAAGATAATAATAGCACCTACTTCACAGGGTTCTTTAAGGAACAAATGATTTCTAAAGTACTTTGCAACCATAAAGTACTCTATAAATGTTAGCAATTGTTATTAAAACAATATGGTGTTGCTTGGAAATGATGAAAAGGTTTCAAAATAATTCAGACTGTTGTAAGGATGTGGCATAAAGATTTTTGATGGAGTTGTATGTCTGAAAAACATTTGTCTTATTTTCGTAGTATTTGTTATAGTCAAGTTTTGGAGAAAGACATGTTTCTTTGAGTAGTTTTGTTAGGATTTTTATACTGTTTTTCTAAATACTTTAGCAAAAGTCATTATATTTTTGTGTTATAGCGGAGGATTTGTGCTCTTTATAAAATCTTGTGCTCCTTAAAGTTGAAACAGTTAAAAAATTCAAAGGAACATGTGGACCACCATATCCTTTCTTCATCTTCATCATCAAATTCATGTTTATATAACATGATGCTGTTTTTGAAGTGCTTTCTGAACAAAAAGATAGAACTGCTATCTTTAATTCTTTTTTTAAATTAATTTATTTTGAATTGTCAACAATCACTTCCATAAGCTTCTGAGCTTCAAATTTTTCTCCCTCTCCCTCCCTACCTCCCTCTCTAAGTAGTGCACAATCAAACATTTTCACATCAGTGATGTTGTAAGTAAGAATTAGAGCCAATAGGAGCAACCACCAGAAAGAGGAAACAAAACACAACAGAAGGAAAAAAAATAGCAAATAGTATGCTTCCATCTGCATTCAGACTCCATAGTCCTTTCTTTTTTGTGGATAGCATTTTTCATCTTGAGGCCTTTGGAGATGTCTTAGATCCTTGTATTGCTGAGAAGGGTTAAGTCTATCAATATTAGTCAGAATTGCTGTCTTTATTTTACACCTGTGGCAATTGAGGCATAGAACTGTGCAGAATATAGTAGATGTTTAATAAATGTTTATTGATTTCCTCTATAGCTCCCCCCTTCCCTACCCTCTCAGCTGACAGCTTTGCCTCATGTTTCACTAAAAAAAATTGAGGCTGTTCACAGAGATCTATCTTTCTCCCCTGATTCCTCATCTCATATCACTTAGATGCCTTCTGTCGTCTCCTTCACTCATTTAACACACAGAATTCCTGGAACATAGAATAGGTGCTTAATAAATGCTAGTTGACTGACTGATTTCAGGCTTACACATACCCTTAAAGGATTTGTACAAGATCACACGTAGTAAGTACAACAGTTGTTGTTC